TACAGAGGTTTGGGACTGGTCTAGGTAAGAGTTTAGAGCTCTGCTTGACCTGCAGCTAGGAACTTATGTGCTGTTTAACCATGATAAAGAAAAGGTGCATGACGGGGGGATCATTTCACATTTTCTGTGTGAGTCAGTGTGTGAGAAGCAGGTGGATTGTATATTTTAATATTATGAATTGATGCATCTTAGGCTCCATACTACTTGCAGCTTTAAGGAAGAGAACCTGCTCAAACACTAGCTTTTAAGGAAGAGATGAGTTAAAACTGTTGAGATAGAATAATATGTACATTTATTCTTCTTTAATATATTACCAACATTTTTGTGCTTTACAGGATTCTCCAAAAGCACAGAGACCTCAGGAAACTTTACAGTAACAGTTTACCCAAAGGAAATAAGGACTTTCTTTGTATACTTTCAGAGTCAATAAAGTTTAACATTACATTTCAAAAGTGAGTATGTAATAGCTTCCTATTTTTGTTTCAAGATAGGAATGATGATCTTGCGAAACATTCTACTGCTGTTAATGAAAGAAATAGTCATTTTGGAATAAACTCTAAATTTAATTAAACTGTTGGCTTGAGTTGCGGGTATTTTTGTTGGTTAATTATTTACAGCTCATTTTTTCTGAAACTTGATCAGTTCAAAAATGACCTTGGTTTTGCAGTGCAAGCGTATTGCACATTTTCATGCTTGCTATGGGTGGTTTTCAAAGTGATTGCTTCCATAATGCTTCACTGTGGAGCACTGTCAAAGTCCTATTAGTCCTACAATCTCAAATTGTCTTTCTAATTAGTGGTGATATCATAAGTCTTCTCTTATGTTTCTTTATTGTTAGAGGAGATGACTTCCAAATCACAAAAGAGTGATCTGCCAAATGGGGTTCTGTTTCTACATTCAAGGAAGAATGCCTGTCATATTCCAGCTACTTTGTCTTTTGGGCACAATTGCAAAGTTTCTGCCATGCTATAAACTGAAGTTGAATGTCCCGTTCGTATTCCTTTGCCCTGAGTTCATTTAAATTGTCTTTCAAGGCTTACAGTATCCTGGTCCTGGACGTTCAGTGTTGTGTTCTTGGTAAACTGAAGCTAGGCTGTCGACAGAAGATGTATTGCCACATGGCTGGTAACTAACTCCACATAATCTGAAGCAGAAGCACCATTCTTACAATCCTGTGAGCTTGCATACTTCTCAGCCTCAAAGGATGTGCATAGTGGTAGCAGGAAACGTTTCATTAGCATCAAGTTGAAATTAATCATGGAGGACTGTGTTGAGAGGTTAAAGTGGCAATAAGTGCAGACTGTAAGCAGATCTGATTGAGCAGCAGCAGAATAAAACTTGGACAGTGGCAGGGTTTCCTAATAGCTGCTTGTATTTATGTCAAAAAGAAAAATTGCATTTTTCTATTTTCCTTTTTAGCTCTAAACAAGGTGGAGCTGTAGAATCTGTTCTGTTCATGTGCCATTGAGCATCTCTATTTCACTTATTGATCATGAAAAGGCACATAGCCAAGATGAGAATCAAGTCACTCACTTCACTGCAGGGATAGTGATGAATTATGCTTGGTGTAACACTGTACAAAACTGTATTTCTGATCAGTGAAACATTAAGCTGAAAGAGAAAATATATAGGTTTAAAAAAAGAGAATAGGTGCCTTTTCAATCAACTGATAATAATTCTAGCTCTAGTATCATTTAGAAATGACATTTTACTATGGTAATAGTTCTCATTTGCTTTGGCTGTTCAGCAGTGATTTCCTCCATGTGGAGACACTGTTCAAGAACAAAGGAAACAGAGTGAAAAGGGCTCTCCCAGAATAGCTCTTGTGAAATAGTTATGCTGGAAGAGCTGCACTGGTGGTCAACTTTTCTGTGTAGAAAGCCTGTGTACAGTAACTGGTTGAATCTCATTAAAATCAGTATAGAAACTGTGCATTCAGTTACTGGTTGAAGAAAGGTTGTTTCATATTTTCTATTGGTTATTTTTCATACAGCAATAATGCCAATCTGATCTGCCCTGATGCAGTGAAAGCCATTTTCCTCAACTTTAAGCCCAAAGGGGAATTATGTAGCACTGTAACTAGAATGCAGCAAAGCAAGATGGCAGCTATTTTTTGTTTTGTTTTGTACATGTATTAGGGAAATGAAATGTGTCCAGCTAAGTAATATTCCTTGCTTGTACATCTTTTCTGATTTCCTGCTTGGGTATACCATGTAGTACAATGTGTGTACTCTGAAGGTTACACAGTGGTAGGATTACAATTCATTTTTCTGTGACTGAAGTCATGACAGCAAGTCAATCAATCATGGTAGGTTATAAAAATAGAATTGTATCTTCAGTGGGCAATTGTATGGTCAATCCCAGCCAAGCAGTAAAGGATCCTACAGCTGCTGACTCTGGGCACTTCTTTCCCAGATGTAAGATATGTATATTTCTAGTCCTTGTTAAGTGTGTTAAAAGTCCTACAAAAGTCTTCTGTATGCAGGATAATATAAACAGGAATACCTCATTATCAACTGATTTATCTGTTGGGGGGGGGGCGGTTCTACTTCACTTTGTAGAGACTTTCTGATTTAAAATAAAGGGGGAGAGAACCACCAGAATATTTTACCTGGAGTTGTTTCACTACAATTGGCCACCAGGGAATAATTTGCCAAATATTGTATTGCACTGGAGGCATCCAAAACTGTAAAGAAAATGGCATTCCTGCTAGAAATCTATTTGTAATTTGCAGAAAGAAAAGAAACTTTAACAGGATCTTCCTGTTGTAGATGCTTTCCTGACCCACAGTCATGTGGGTGATGCACTTACCCCACCAGCAAAGCTGGCTTAAGAAATTTTGTCACCAGATTTTTCCACCCGCTCGGTACTACTGTAATGAGAGTTTGGGGGTTGTGTTGTCAAACAGTACAATGAATTAACCTAAATAAGCAGCTAAAAATAAACCTTCTTCCCAGCCCCTTTTTCTATGTGCTAATTCATTTCATCTCTGACAGGATGATTTGGACTAGAACCAAAATGTCTTTCTGAGTAAATATAAGCTGCTATCAGCACTACTGAAAAAGCTTCACCTATTTTCTGGACAAAATACTCTCCATGCTGGAGCTGCAAGCTGTGTAACTCAACACTAAATGCATTTATGTAGATATTTAAATACAAGAGAAACTAGTTTTACCCTTGAATTTAAACACGTATACTTCATTGTTCTACATCTTTGATCAGTAATACTGAAGATAACATGAATGTCAATGCTAACAGAATTATTTAATATAATTAAATAATATCCTTAAGTGTAAAATTATTTCCTTTAATATATCCTTTAATTCACGTGAATTTGAAGGTATTTGTTCTGTCCTCAGTAACTCTAAAAGGTGATAACCAAGTCAGCTGAGTACCATTAGAAAAGGGGATAGCCTGCAGCATATTCTGACCTTTATCTGTGCTGTTGTCTCTTCTTTCATTTTACTTGGAAATCTAAACAACACTGGAAACTACTTCTGTAAGGTAGATACTGATGAGCGGTAAGCTGTGTTACACTTTTGTGGCTGACAAATGGAAAGGAACAGTGCTTTAGACTTTAAATGTGGCTGTGTCTTCATTACAAATTGCAGTTTAGCTGTTCCGGACACCTGCTCAGTGGTACTGGTACCTGATGTTACTTGTAGGAAATCTTGTGGTTGACAGATTTTTATCAAGTTCTTAACTGATTAATGTTCTCAGCATGTCCTATTTGATCTTTTTAATTATCATTTAAGTTCTGTCATTGCAATTTTTATGTTATCCAACTGAACGTATTTGTGGAACAGTTTTGTCTGGCCTGGTGTTTGAAACATCTGTCCAGGGAATAAAACTAAGTAAGCTGAGAAAATGAAAGCAATGTTTTATCTTCCATTTCTCTCACCAGGAAATGTAAGTGATTCTGGGTTGAAGCAAAAAATCAGTTTTGGAGAACATTGAGCAGCATACAGTTATCTATAGTTGTAATTTTTTTTTCTTTAATAGTTGAAGACAAATAAGTTTCAACATGGTCTTTAACTTGATGACGTAACTGTAGATCATTTTATTTAACCCATGCTTATCATCTTCCTGAAACAGGCCTTACTTAATATACCCTTCAGTATCTGAAGAGGGCCTAGAAGGATGCCAGAGAGAGGCTGTTCACCAGGGACTGTAGTGAGAAGACAAGGGGAAACAGGTTCAACTTAAACAAGGGAAGTTCAGGTTCAATATAAGGAAGAAGTTATTTACTGTGATGGTGGTGAGGCACTGGAATGGGTTGTCCAGGGAAGTGGTAAATGCTCCATCTCTGGCAGCATTCAAGGCCAGGCTGGGTGATGTGGTCTAGTGTGAAGCATCCGTGCCTAAAAGGTCCTTTCCAACCCAAACTATTCTGTGATCCTATGGCACTGGTATTGCATTAATACAGCTGCACGCATAGAGGTAATAGCAGGATGCACTGCATACAGAGTGTAGTGTTCTGGATTGTTTCCCACTGATGTTGCAGGTTGTTGGGACCACTCTGTGGTCTTCACACAAGCACTTCAAACTCAGCCTTCCTGTCAGTGGGGCTATGCTACTGTTAAGGCAAAAGTAGCAAAGTATTTTTCATGGGAGGGAAGAGTTTAGGCAAGATTTCAGCAAGATGAAAGGTGTGATAAGGAGAGATGGTAGGATTAATATTTGACATCAGTGTAACCTAAGTATAATCACTGTCTCTTTTGCTTTGGATAAAATTCATCAGGTTGGCTGGAAGAGGCTCTTGAAAACATGTACATAGTACCTAAACAAGTCTCATCTTCATAAAACACCTTTAAATGAAGGATTGCAGAAGTGCAATATCTCGCATGAGACCACTGCAAGTATGGAAAAGCAGTTTTCTATGTCCTGTCAGGAGAGAGGCTAATCTAGTGCTGAAAGATAGCCGGTTAGGAAACAATTTAAAATTTAAAAAAGAGATGTTCTGATTTCAGACAGAATGACTGGGCTCTAAAACAGGCAGTTTCAAAGACTAGAGGGAAAATGTGGGTTGCATTTAGGTTTCTATCATCCTCACCACACGAGGGAAGAGGAAGTTAAGCTACGAATCTGAGAGGCTTTCATTTGTAGTTTTGCTGATCTTCAACAAAGACACCCTGATGCAAATGCTAATAATCCTGTGTGATGATCATAATTTCACTGAAACTCCTTTTAACAATGTGTTTTGGCTGCTTAGGTAAGTGCTCTTTATTTTGTTTGTTTTGTTTATAGTTTGCCACCTGTAATCCTTGAGCTGGGTTTAAAAATATGTGTTTTCTCCAGTATATCCACCTCAAATAGACTTGTGTGCAAGATGAGGAGAGTGTTAACTATATTTTTGTAATGCTGAAATCAAAATTAACGTGTGGGGAATGAAAAAGCATTTTCACAAAGAGTTTGTTATAGAAGAAGTGTAGAGGAACAAATTTGACACCCAAGACGATCTTAGGTTAAGAAGGCAAGCACTCTTTTCTTTTTAGACCTTTAGATGTGAATCTTTATTGTGAAAAACACTGAATGCAGAATTTGAAAATGTTGAGGAGGTTTAATTCTGGGCCACGTAACTACTGAAATACAAAGCAGATAAGGTTTCATGTTTCTTATTCAATACAGATTGCACTGGTTAATACTGAAGGTGTTCAGTATAAATTAAAAAACAGAAGGAAAGAGAGGGAAAGCTTAAGAGATTAAATAAGGGTAAAAGGGTTTTTTCAGTGCTACTTTCCACTGAAGTCACAAGACTAAATATATCAGATGCCATTTGAGGACCACCTAGTACATCAGTGAGTACACAGAAGATTTTCATTTGTTGCACACAAACAGTGATGAAGGGCTTTAACACACCACATTAAAAGTTTCCCTTTAGCCAGAAAGTAATTGCCATTGCTCAAGGGAGAAGTGGGTAGTAAGTAAATTGAAAAATTAATCTCATGATGATTTTACAGTATTAACAATATTTTCAATCCTGTGATTGTAGATATTACTGCTGTAATGCTTTCTTTTTGCTGCTTAATGTGTATTTCTTCGCTAGCTACAGGTCCCAGTAATATAGCAGTCATCCAAACACCAACAAAAATACATCTATCAATTGGAGACTACACTGAAATCGCCTGTATTTGGGAAAAATCTGTTGTGAGATACAGAGTAAGCTGGTATCTTGTTAGTAAAGAGAACATCACCAAAACTATCTCATCAAAACTTCTGTATGTATACAATGATACCCGTGAAAGCAAGGATGTGCTGGTGATAAACTCTGCCAATATAAATGACACTGGATTTTACTACTGTGAGATAATTATTGAAATACCTTTCTGTAAGAAAGTATGTGGAAATGGGACAACAGTGATTGTTGAAGAGAAAGGTAAGCTACCAAGAACCTAAGTAAGTGTGCCATTTAACTTATCATCATAAAGATTCTTCATTTTCAAGTATTTTATACACTTCTTCCCTCTCTCACATCTCTCTCTCTCAGCTCTGTGGGTCTTGGAATGAATGAAACAAACACAGAAAGAACATGAAAGGCTTTTACTGACAGTTGACTTAAGCTCTCTGCCTTAATACTCCCAGTGCAGTGTTTGCTTTCTTCTAGAACAGTTTGCTAACAGGAATTATTAGTTAAGGTTTACAAAATGCTGTGCATCTGCTACGTATTTCACAGACAAACCAAACACAGTTCCTTCTCATAAGGGATTTGGTAGGCTAGGTAGTTAAGCTGACACAGTTCATGCATCTGCCTTGTGGTAAGGAGTGGCTGAAGCAATCACACTGTTACTCTGTTAAGCAATATGTACCTTTTACTAACCATTTTATCTTCTTATTAGAAGATAAAATGGTAAATTAATATGGAAGATAGAGCAGTATGTGCTCCATATTAATAAGGACTTGTGTCCACAAAGATGTTGTGATAAAACGTCCTGTATAGGCCGTGTCTCCTTACTTTATTATAGTTGTTTGCTAATCTTTATGGGGGAGCTATTTAAGGTCCCAATTCTGAATTAAGCATTGAAAAGCATTAATTCAATAAGTATTCACACACAATTAAATTTTCAGCAGTAGGAGTGAGGTATGTTTCACCTCAAATTATGCCAAGAATGTGACATACATAGAAAAAGTTTACCCGTTGTGTCTGTTACACAACTGTCTCAAGACACTGTGAAGATGCTAATCTCTACCTCTCATTCTACTTCTCAACGGCAAAGAAAGACTAGAGGACTGATAATGTTAAAGGTCTCTGACTAGACCTTTAGTATTACCAAACATCACTCATATATTGACTGATCAAGTCATGGGAAGCAAACTTTCTGTTCATCCAGCACAGTCCAGTTTTGGACACTATACTATTGGGCAACTGTAGTCCAAAGAGAGGCACAAAAATTATCAAAGACTTAGAAAACATCAGTGATAGCAAATGAATGTAGTGTTCAAAATGGTGGGAAATGAATGTAAAAGGCTGCTAAAAGAGTTAATCTTAAAACGAGTTGGGTGATCTGAACCCAGACAGGTCTCTTACCTGGTCTGGTAGCAATAGCCTTAAAGCACAAGCAAAAAAGACTCACATTAGACACCGAAGGGGGGGAAATTGTCAAGCTGCAGGAGCTAAAGGAGGATTCAGTATTATTGTTCCTCAGGCATGCATCCCTCAGGAATGGGAAAGTGTAAGTAACCTTGCACTTGGGTGGGAGGGTTAACTGATTCACTGCTGAAGTTAGTTTTAATTTTCACCACCCCCACCCCTCAGTGTTGTTCTATTGTTTCTTTGAACAGTACATAACTTTATTTAAAATATATCATTACAGAGGCTCACTCATTGAAAAAGAGAGATCTGGCAATCTGCGCCATCATTCCTTTCTTTGTGGCACCGGCAAGCTTGTATCTTTGCTACAGAAAGAAACAGAAACAGCACTCAAAACTTCCCAGTGAGTGACAATATTTCCATTAACACATACGCTCTAAATTAGATGTTTGTTCTGAGATGGCTGGACAGGAGTACCTGAGAGGCATCACTTAGGTGCTCCTATGGAGGAGGAATTTGAGGGACCGCTCAAGCTGAGAGGAGGGATTGGATTATAATTCACGTGAATGTTCTTGAAGCCACTTGCCTCTGTTATTTATCTTTCCAGACTTAGACTGAAGATCTTGACTTACTTAAGATATTGAGAGATGTCAATTCTGATAGTTACAGACTATGAGAACAGACTGAAAACGTGACAAGCCAGAACTTAGCTCTGCATTAGGGTCTTACTCCTGGTAGTGACACCTGGAAGTGACATCTGAAAGACCCAGCCTTGGGGTCTGAGCTGTTCTAAGCTGTTTGGTTTAACTAATTATTATTAAAAAAAATAAATTAAGATGGAATAAATCACAAGAAAAAACAGCAAATGGGAAGGTTAGAGGACAAGTATAAATGTATGGCATCTGCAGGCAGTGGGCGCAGATCAGCGACATAACCTAAGGCAGCCTCCTAAGTAACTGTAGCATGAGTATTAGAATTGCAGTATGACGCTCACTCAGCTTGTGAGCTGTCAAGGATGTAGGAGCAATACCTGTGATTTGAGGTTTAACTTGCAAGTTAACAAACCAGGGAGAGGGGATTTAGGTGAGAGAAATCCTAAGTTCCTATTTCAGTCACTGGATCGGCACAGGTAACTGTATGAATTGACCTGTGGTAGGTGTCTACTTAAGGGTGAGCTCATCAGTTCTCTAATTTTCATGACACAAACTCTGTTGACCAGCTCTCCATGGCATAAAGGGTGTTCAGAAACCTGAAGGTATTCTATTCCACTTGCAAGCTGAATACCCCTCTAGTGCCTGTCATCAAGACTAAATTGTATAGGAGCTCTGCACTCTTCATTTACAGAGCTCTGGAATTTCCAGTGTGACTCTGGAAATGGACAGTAAGCAAGCAGTGACTGTAACTTGTTTTTTGCTGAGGTTCTGCATTGCTTGCTGTGCCAACAGGAGGGCATCAGGGGGAGCGAATGCTCGAGGCTGCAGAAGTTCATGGGAGAAGCGAATCCACCAGTGGAGCAGCTGAGGAAAACTCGGCTGAATGGGTAAGTGGTTTATAAAAAGACTCTCGCTATGAGAGGACTTTCAAAATGAGGCAACTGGGCAATGGGAGTGCACTGCACAGGAAGGACACAGCAAGCTGCTCTTCCGGGGGGGGGCATCTTACTACACATGAAAAAAAGCCTTATTTTTCTTTTTGTATTTTTTTTAAGAAAAAACAGTCTTGACAGTGGCAACACTCAGAAAGAGGAAGAAAGATTATTTGTGTTGTAGGAAAGTATTGGATTCTGTTATTAAATTTAATGATGCTCTAAAAACAGTCTGCAGAAGAGGGCAGAAAAAAATGAGGAATATCCATATAGAGACTGCGTGAAAGAAGTATAGAAAAAGTAAAAAAGGGCAGTAAAGTCTCTTTCCATACAATTGTTCACTAAGCTCAAAGGCCTTGGACTAGCTTTAGCTCATAGGACCATTAGAGCAGACACTTTCTGAAAGCCGGTAGCAGATTTCAGGCAAGCTTCTTTTTCCAGGCAGTTTTTCATCCCTTAATTACATTAAAACATGAGGTGGGCAAGTGAAAGAAGCCCGAAGTTAACTCTTGCATAGGTAGGCACAACTTCCATCACAGTCAGCTGGATAGGCTTGAACAAGCCACGCAGAGGCGATGTAAAATGCTAAAGCCCATGGTCACAACTGCAGTTGAGTTTACAGATTACTGAATTCTCCTGTTAGAAAACCTGACTTTGGTCTTGATTCGGTCATATTGTTATTGAAATCACAGTGAGAAAACATCAGGATGCAAGTAGTAAACCAGTAATATCTGTCTTTTATTGTGCAACAGTCATCATTCTAGAAAAAGAAAATGTATAGCTGGGAAAATTCATTCCCCATAATATATGGATTGCCACTGAGGCTCAGAGGGAGCTTCTTCAGAGCTCCTTGCTTTTACAGGAGACAGCATATTAAAAGATTTCAAAAATACAAGGCATGAGGTGGTCTGGTCATGGTAATAAAATATTCTAATTACTGGCTATAAATGGATAACTCTTCTACTTGTTAATATTTAATGACGATGTGAGAAAACAAGGCTGAGAATGAGAAACAAGCATCGGAGGGGGTGCAGTGAAGAGTTCATTAGTAGCCTTTAAATGCTCAGGGTTTGTATGGACAACCAGACTCATCCAAAGGATGTGTGAACACAGCTATAAAAGGTCTCGTGTTGCTTTGTAATTAGCAGCTGCTAGCCACAGAGACATGTCATGATATAAGTTTGTCATTTTCTTTCATGTAACGGGATCTTTTTTTGCTACTTTAATAAAAGCAGAAGCAGTGATTTCAGTGGTATCATTTTAAATGCTAAAGTATAATTGGATCTTATAAATCATTCAAGGCATCCAGTAGATTAGTAAAGCCAGTACATACAGTGTGCGTGCACACTATATTTCAGATAAATTAAGCCAATAGTGATGAGCACATATTATGGTGTCTCTGGAGCTGTACTCATTGCCTTTCAGTTGTGTTGCAGAGCATGACTGATTTAATTTAAGGGTATTTTTTCTTGTTTGTGCTTAAGTAATTATCTGAAAAGTTCACACTAGTTTTTTATATTGCTTACACTTTTTCTCTTTAAGCTTGGAAATTCACTGTACATTCTGAGTAGGTTTGGGCACCATTTCCAGAACAGCAAACATGAAGGTTGTGTACGCCTTTGCAAGGCTATTTACAGTCCTCACTCAATTTATGTTATGTTTTTTCCAATACTTGAGGTTGCAAAGGCAATCTTGATTCACAGAACTTGAATCAAGGCATGGATTTTATTCTCACCTGTATCACACCTCATAACAATGCTGAACAATTAGGTCAGATGACAGCACATACCTCCAGGTATCTAATTTAGTTTAACCTGAGAGTGAACATCCCCATGGCAAAGCTGGCCACTGTGGCTGTGCTTTTATTATAGAGCACTTCTCTGTCTCTCTGGAAAGTCATCCCATGTTTCCTGAGTTGAGATGCTCACTGCATGTTTCCCAGACAGTTCTGCCAGCTGCAGGGGAATTTGGTCCTTGAGGGAGTCCTTGGAGAAAATTGGTGATTTTTTTCGTTGCTAAGTTCTGCAGGTTCCAGCCCAAACCTAAGCACTGCTGTAACATTAATACAAACTTCCAGCTTATTCAAACACATAAAAAGCGCACTCCTGAGGAGCTCTGGTTGTGCAAAAATGCACAGAAGCATGATCCAGATTAACTGGCCGTACCTACCATGCTCCCTTTTTGACGTTCAGGCAGCAGTACCTCTGGTCTGAACATAGTTGAAACAGAGACAGTAAATCCCTATAGCAAAGTATAATTTTGATGACGAAAAGCTACCACTTCATGACTTACTTGTTTTATTGTTTTATGCCATGTTAGCTTGTAAGTTTGATTTTATGTCAAGGAGCACAAATCTTTGTGGACATTTAAGGCAGATCTTTAATTCTTACCTTTTGCTAAAGAACTTACCTGAAGATCCCAAATCCTACATGTGCTTAGGAAACGAAAACAGGATGACTTTTGCACAATCCAGAGTAACATCTGAGTACCACTGCCGTGTACTAGTTTACTGCATAAAAAGAGCATCCCTCCAGAAGGAGCAGTGTGATAAAGCTTTTTGGAAATACTGGAGTTAAATGTTAAAAGGGATAAAAAAACCTTTGCAATTTCAGATTTCATAGAGCTGGGTTTACACTGATACTTGCCATCTTTGGTATTCTAAGTGAGTACTTTGTGCCTGGTACCTAATTAACCAAGAGGATTGAATCCAAACATAGGAAGACTTTGTCTTTCAGTGTTAGTACTGTGATGCTCTTTCCCTCTAAATGATAACTCTGTGACCCGTGTTTCTGTCTGTTCCTTTGGGCTGTACTAGATGCTTTGTCTTGAGTAAAAGGTAATTTTAAATAGACTTGAGTAAAAATTATTTTGACTGAAGTTTCTTTGCTTTTTTAAGGCTGTGTCTATCATTTATGAATCACTTGATTCTTTTTTGCAATGAATCAAGAAGAAAAGATGAGAAATCCACTGCAACTATTGTATCCTGTGTAGCTGATGAGCAAATCCCACAAACTAGGGCAGCTGAAAAGTCTAGAATGAGACAAGGACTCTCCATCTGCTTTGACATTCAGAACTAAAAGGACATAAAAAAATATGGCTAAAAAGCTATAAAACTGAAAACTATGATAATTTGCTGCTGAAGGATGGATTCTGTGAGTTTCCTGTCAGAAGCATGTCAGCAGGACAGGATGCAAGAAAAAAGATTGGTTCCAAGCAGTCTCTGAATGTTTTGTCACTAACAAAACCCTGTGAGGAGCCTGTGAATTTGGAGGACATGTTATTTTAGAAGACTGGCTTCAATTCTTCCCCCTGTATCTGGAAATAAAAGATGTGCTGCCATAGTCTGAAAAATCTTCTGGACTGAACAACATTCTCCAACAGAAGCATTTCTTCAGGGAGTTCATGTAGAAATAGCAGAAGGTAAAATAGAAGTGCATATGGTGGTAATTGTTTGACCAGATAGACCACATAGGATGAAACTGTCATCAGTGCTGACCATCTCATAGCCTAAGTGGTATGCCAGAAGGGTTTATATTCCTGTGGAAAAGGACTGTTATGGTACTTCATTCACATATGAGGAAAAATCTTCCAGAGAAAGTAGTCTACTATGCACAGTGAAATGCTAGGTTTAAATGGAGCTCTCTGTATTATAATTATGTATAATTATTGCCTATCTGGTGGAGGAGGGCTGCTTGGAGGAGACTGGAGCGTTAACACTTGTTTCACTTTTGCCAGCTTTAAAACTTCAAAGCCAAAGAATTACTAATGAAAAACCAAACCTGGAAAGTAAGGGAAAGCTGGCTTCCAAGGTGAGCAGCATTGGCAGCAAAGCTAATGGCAGTTGTCCAAGCACTGCTCAGTACTCAGAACAGGTATCAGCAGTGTGAACATATTTATGTACCAGAGTTATTTTGTCTTCTGTTAAACTTTTCAGAGCTTCGCTGGAGGTTAGATCATGTTCACAGCAATGCAGGGAGAAACAACCTCACTACTCATGAGGTTTGTTACAGCTTGTAGCAGGGCAGTAGATGCAGACTGTCTTTCCTGGAGCCCTTAAAAACAGTTTGTGTAGTCTAAAGGTGTGACTGGCTTGTTGCTCAATATTCTGTAATGAGGTCTTTGTGGCCATACAGCATGGCTTGTGGTCTGGTTCTCTCTACACTATAGCGACTGCAGTTCACAACTACTGTAGCTCAGAAGTGGCTCGCTCCTAGGTGTGAATCCTCTTTCCTGGGTGGTTCTGTAACCTCCCCTGGATGCTGTTCTGCAGTGAACATTCTGCTGTCAGAAATACGCTGTGATCACTGCACTGTGACTATACCTTGAATGAGAGAAAATATTTGTTACAGGCTGTTTGTTACAGTACATCTCATGGTACTTACGTGTAAGTTGAATAAAGCAAGAGGATTTTCTTTTCTTCCTTCTGAAGTTCAGTCACTTTAAAATCTTGGTGATTTTTGCCCTGAAACGTCATTACAGACTTGTTTCCTTTACTGTGTGGTGAAACGCTGTCATGTGTCATATTCCTTTGAGGCTTACAAACGGGATTGTGGATTTCCACAGACCCTGTATCTTTGTCCCCTACATGAGAAAGTTCTAACCAGTAAAATGATGGTGACCTTCAGGCCAGGTTCTCTGATCAAGGAAGTTTTTAGTTACACCTCCAGAGCTGTAAGTGTGTGCAGTAAATTCTGGTCTTTCTGTATATTGCTGGTTACTTCTCTATTTAATCACAATAAGGAGATGCACAGTATTCAGGGAACTGTTAAAGGCAACCACTAAATTAAGGGTTGCCACTAAACCACAATTTAATAGTCTCCAAATCATATTTTCATTAAACACTATTAGAAGTTGCTGATAAAATGTGGTTCCTACCAGCAAAGAATGTGGCCTTATTAACAGCTGCTCATATTTTGTACGTTAACATGGTCATTTCCAACATCTGACAGCTGAAAATTACACCAACTTTATCATGACCTATTTTTATCTGTGACTGACAGTGGCTGTGAGCCAGCAGAGTATTTTCAGAGCTCCTGCTGGTTGTCCTACTCATCAGTAAGAGTTTGACACCTGTGCATCATGTGTATTATCTTCTCTGCTTCTGTACCACTTGGGAAGCAACACACTCTTCTGGTTTTATTTCTTCATGGTTGTTTTGATAGCTTTATAACAACAAAGAGCTCTGTAATTAATCTCAGGACTTTTTCTAGTGTCCAGTATGTTCTCAAATATTAACTGTCTATGTAACTGTTCAGTCTATAATGAAGCCCATCTGCCTAATTACAGATCTTGAAGAGAATCCTGGGCCTTTGCTTTTAGCCAGTTTTGGTGATTATTCCCTCCTGACTAGGCTACTGCAAACTGGTTCCATTCTGGTTTAATTTGAGGTTCAAAGTCCTGTGTTAAGCACAGGCTAACACATCCTAAGTTAAGAGCAAGACTGGCACAATGTATTCTAAAGCCTCTACGCATTCTGCCATGCTTCTAACGTCTCACCAATGTACTTGGCTTAGTCATAATCCTACGAATTATGACTATTATATAATCCTTCCTCTCTGTTTCTGTCACACACATGACCTTGGTTTAGAGAGCTAGTATGGTAAACTTGAGACTACAGCACTGAACTCATTCTCTTCCTGATCCATTGCCCAATCATACAAGGAGCTGCAGCTTCATTAATCTATATAGCACTTAGGCAGCTATTTTTAGCAACTGGGTATTGATTATTTCAGTCTGACTTGAGCCACACTTTTTTTGCAAGCCCTTTCTTAGGTTCTTTTCTCTCACAGTATCTGTGGAAAAAGAGTACAGAGCAGGTATTCCTGGCTCCATTACAGCAAGGATCTGCAGCAGCAGGCAGGATGATGAGGTAGCCCAACCAACATAGTCATGTTTGTGTGTGATACTATGACTAATGTTCTTCTGCCTGATAACAGTGCTGTCAGAACAGCAGTGACGTTGTTGTGGTTTAACCCCAGCCAGTATCTCATCCCCGCACAGCCACTGGCTCACTGGAGGGATGGTGGAGAGAATCAGAAGGGTAAAAGTGACAAAACTCATGGATTGAGGTAAACGCAGTTTAACAGCTAAAGCAAAAGCTGTGCACAAGCAAAGCAGAACAGGGAAATCATTCCCCCCTTCCCATGGTCAGGCAGGTGTTCAGCCATCTCCAGGCACGCAAGACTCCATCACATGTAGCAGTTACTTGTGAAGACAAACACCATCACTCCAAACATCCCCCTTCCTTCTTCTTCCTCCTCCAGTTTTGCATGCCGAGGGTGTGGGATATCCCTTGGGTCAGCTGGCATCAGCTGTCCTGGCTGTGTCCCCTCACAGCTCCTTGTGTACCCCCAGGCTGTTTGCTGGTGGGGTGGTGTGAGGACCAGAAAACACCTTTGTGTTAGCACTGCTCAGCAGTAACTAAACCATCCCTGAATTACAAACACTATTCCCAAAACACAGCCCCATACTAGCTACTACATAGAAAATTAACTCTACCCCAGCCAAAACCACTACAGATGTTAAAATTGGTTGACTAAAATTTGTTCAAAACCAGATTTTATCTGAAGTGGTTTCTCTATACTGCTGACGTCAAGAACCACTGCAGAACTGATGCTATTCTCAAAACCCCCAAAGCTCCAGCCCAAAATTAAATTGACTTAAGATTGTCTTCATGCAGCTAGTTGAGAACATTCACTTTAAAAGCACTCCTGCGTTAGGCAAGTGCAACTCTGGATACAGCCTATGTCCAAGGAGAAAGTCTGATCTATGCAAACAGGATGGTTTTGTTTGAATTGTAATTCCTGCCTAGTTCCTAGCACTGCTTGAGAAATGAAAGTTGAAATCAATACTTTGTCTGAGCTATAATGTTTTTACCTACTTCTCTCTTAAGAGCCTCAATCTTCAAATAGATCTCAAATTTAAGGAACATTACCACCTAAGGGGAAATTGAAGTGTATCATGGGGTTCACAGAGTCTGTGCTTCCACTAACCTAAAGAGGATGCTATGTTAGTTTTATTCTGCGTGGATGAACTGGGCTTTCAAACCTAAATGCAATTTTGTGTGCTGCATCTATTTCAGCATCAGACTCCAGATCAAGGTATATTGCCACATCCTTTATAGTTAACAGCAGAAATAAACTAGAGAGTAAATCTATGAGATTATCAGAATTTATTTCTGGCTCATGCTCATGCTGGGGAGTTACAACAAGGGTGGCTGTAGAGAGGTTTTTGTTATTTTTACTAAGTGGTCTTGTCTCAGTACTTTGCAAACAGAAATCAGCGCATATGACTGACAAACGAATACGCAGATCAAAGGGGCACTAGCCAAATCCTCTGACCAAAAGAAGGACAGATGCACATGTCTAAATGCTTCTCACTTTGTACATAATACGAAATACTGAGATGAGAGGAAGGATTCTGATGAACTCCTACATTCCAGTAACAAGGCATTAGCTAAGGTGCTGTGGTGTGGTGCTGGCTACTGGTGGATTTTGTTGGCTGATGGGATGTGATAGCAATTAATTCCTTGTCCTTTTTCCAAAGCAGAGCCAGATGCCAAGGCTTGGCAACATCTTATACAGCCTTATTCCACTCCTATCAAAGTTACTTCATAACTTTCTCAGAGGAAGCATTCAACTTCACAGAGGTAGAGAGGTATAAAAAGGGTAAGGTAGAAAGAGAGTAAGCTCAGCACTATTCATTTAGTCCACTATTATTTGCAGACTAAAAACAGACAGCACTTAAGTTGCCCTAAACTTGAATGACCGGCTCTGCAAGCCAGGAGTGAGGATGTATCTGTCCATTACCTGGCCTAACACAGTTGAGACCCATGGCTGATGGGAATGCTGTGGAAATACATCATGAAAGCAAGCAATAGGTATTGCTCCATTTTTTACCTTATAGCTTTTAATTCTGGAGAGAGAATTAAAAACAACAAAACAAACACCTCTAATGAAGACAGCAGAACAAGGTCAGGTAATAGTGACAGACACTCCAAAGCCACCAATGGTCTGATTGGGTTTGCTCAGATAGAATAACTCTCCTTTCCTAATTTAGCAGCTATAAAATATTACAATTTGTTATTTAAGTTTCTTTTTAAATACAGACTAACCTTACACTAAAGACCCTAGCTCTTATCTAAACAGGGACTGCTATTGAGCAAGAAAGGAAATGGAAAGAGTAGCTACCATGTCAGTCAAGTGCTGCAGAAGGGAAAAGGAGTCACTTGCCTCTGAGCAGAAACAAACACAGCTGGTTTCTTACCTCCCCTTCAGATCCACAGCATGGTAGCAAAGTTACGTGAGCAGTGGGACTGGATGTAACTTCAGACAGACACAGGCCACTTCTGAGACACCATAACCAGTAACTGTCACACCAGTGGCTACTCTATTAAGTGCACCTGGTAGGTAGTCCATCTAGATAGATTTAAACACATTTCAAATATAAATTTTGGCC